TACGGCTACTACGACCACTACAACTACTACTCCTATTCCTACTCCTACTCCAATTCCTGCTCCTCCTCCTCCACCACCGCCACCTCCACCTCCTCCTCCTCCTCCTCCTCCTCCTCCTCCTCCTCCTCCTCCTCCCCCTCCTCCTCCGTCTCCCTCTCCTCGTCGAAGCGCACCGCCCAGGAGGCACACGCGTCGGAAGGCGCGGCGGGCCGCAGCCCTGCCTTCCGCTGCCCCGGGGGGGCGCACGGCTTGACCCGGGTGCCCCTGCCCTCCCCTGAGATCCTGGCGTCTCGATTTATTCGAGGTTCGAGGTTTTCGGACGCTTTCGTCGGTTCTCGGCGATTCTTTAGCCTCGGGATGCTTGCCAGCAGCTGCGCCTCGCCGAGGGCGTTCCGGGGGTGCCCGGATCGTCCCGAACGGCCGCCGGAGACGCAAGTTATGACCCAAAAACCAAATTCGGCGGCGGGCCCGGGGGAAGCGAGAAGGAGAAGACCGTCTCAGAAGGCCGCGGGCCTTCCCAGAAGGGAAAGTTTACTTGCACGGTGTTCCCCCCCTCGCCCCTCTTCAAGCGAATGCTAGCGTGCAAATGCCTTTCGACGTGCGTCTGCGGCTTGCTTCAGTTTCAGCCCCCCCCTCCATGCAAGTAAGTTTGCCCGAGTCAAGCTTCAGGTTTCGGGCCCCGGGACCCTCATATATCGATCTGGGGCGAAAAATGCCGCAGGAAGGTGGGATTGGGGCTCCGGTTGTGACCTGTTACGATGCTTCAATTTTGTCCGGCCGTCGGATCTCAGGGTCGGTGGCGTCTGGACATCCACGTCCACCACTCTCGGGTCACCTCCCTGAAGCGACGAGAAAGGACGCGCCCTGCGCAAGACGGCATACAGCTAGTTCAAGGACAGAAGAACATCTAAAACCATTCTTCAAGAGCATATGAGACCCTCCGCCGGCCAAAACATCCCAAACCATAAGATCACCGAGGGAACCCATCTCCAGGATGCACAGGAGCATCGAACGAACACGAAAAACATCAGGGTACCCTCCATGAACCGACCTCGATCTGATACCTCGGTCCGACCGTACTCTGCTCCCAAGAAGAGCGAATTGGCGCGCGAGCCAAAGAACGGCATCGCGTCCACCACCCGAACTCTGTTTTGGCCAGACGCGGCTTGTCTGTGTAGGACCGCGGCATCACTCATCAAGCTGGGTCTGCTACGGGCACGCGGTGTATTGAGCGTAGTGGGTATCAGGAGCCAGATCCCAAAAATGTTGACGTCTCACTTTGACTTCCGCCGTCTTCCGCTGGCTTCCGATGGCGCACTTGCCGACGTTTCACCTCCGCCAGCTCCGCAAACCTTCCGCCGGCTTCCGCTGGCGCGGATGCCTCGAAGGCGGGGCCCTTCCTGAACGCGGCAGGCGTTTCGATCCGCTGCCACAGAGCTCCTGACCGTCGATTTTGTCTCCCTGGATGCGTTTCTGATGGCCCAGGGGCCCGACAACGGGCGTCGGCGGCATGAATCGATAAAAATGTCCAGATCGAAAAAACAAATCGCCAAAGATCTGGGTGCATACATCTCGCCGCCCGACCAAACCCTCCCCCCCTCCACCCCTTGGGGTCCATTCTGGATCTCTCGAGCTATCCGCCGCATCAAGTGGTTCGTGCTCGGAGCCGGAGCAAAGCGAAGCCACAGGAGAGCGTGGCACTGAAAGCGCAGCTCCGCACACGTGGCAAATTGGATGCAGCCAGGGGCTCTGAACTGGTTGGGACCTCAGAAATCAGGAGGGGGAAAAACACACAGACACAATTAGTCGTCGATTCTCAAAAATATAAGAAAATATGGGAAGTGGTGTGGAAGACAAAAACCCAGAAAGTATGCGAAAATATAGGGGAATCCAGTTATCTGTGTATTTATATGTGTCCCAGGGCCCCTTCAAGAAAATTGGCCAGGAGGGGGGACGACGCCGAATCCATTCAAAATCGGTTCCCAGACCCCTTCCCGGGGTCCATCTGGTGCAATCTCGCCCCAGATCCGTTTTTGACGGTCTTGGGGCCCGAAAGCAGCCCCCAGAAGCCGAAACAAAAGACAAAAGCCTCTTCGAACCCAGAGCCATCCTGCCCGCCCGTCTTGCTGGCCAGCACCCGTGCTGGGCCACCTCAGACCCCCAGACGGCTCCAGGTGTCAAATGCTCCAGCGAGCAAGAACCCCAAACTCCCTCGAAATATGAAAAAATCGCGACGAGAGGTTTTTCACCGTTTTCGGCCCCTGGGGGGCCTCGCCAGGCCTCGGGACCGTCAAAAACGATCCAGGACGAAAAAGCGGCCCCGGGCAATGGGTCGAGACCTCGGGGGGTCGACGTCACAAAAGATTCATGACGTCGGGGGCCTGGGAGCGCAGCAAAGCCCACCGGACCGCCAAGCATCGCGTGTCCAGGGGGGAGGCCGCTGCCTCCGCGTCCCGGGCCGGTCCTCCCGCCGATGGGCGCCGGCGAAGCCTCGCAGCCCCAAACCGACGGGAGGCGGCGAGGAGCCAGCGCCGCGTCGGCAGGCCACGCCGCCAGGCTGCGAGACCCCCCAAGGCCCAGGAGCCTTGTCTCTGTGTTTCGTGATTATATATAGTATATAACAGTATATACTATAAGTGGAGATGTGTATATATATACATATATATATATATATATATTATAAGAGAAACAAGAAACAAAAAAAACTGTCAAGTTTAACTACTTGCACGACGTCCGCCCCCCCCCTCCCCCTCGCTCCTCTTCAAACAAGCACTAGCGTGCAAGTGACTTTCGACTGACGTGACTTCCGCACGTGCAAGTCGTTTGCGGTTTGCTTCAGGTTCAGCTCCCCCCCCGTCCATGCAAGTAAACTTGCCAGTCTACGGAAACAGACCCCAGGCGTCATGATTGTGTTCACAGCGTCGACTTCCAAAAGTTCCGACCCGTTCCCCGGGACCAGCTTTTCATCCCGGGTCGTTTTTGTGGACGGCCCCAGGGCCTGGTAAGGGCCCCTAGCCTCCTGCATTTCTTTTACACAACTGACGTCTTCGCCCGGTTTCGAGCCCTCGGGACCCACAAGATCGATCCAGCTCGCGAAAGATGCCACAGAAAAATGGGGCCTGGGGCTCCGGGCGTTATTTTTGGTTGCGATGTTGCATAGTTTTCGCCACGTCGGATCTCAAGGCAGGCCAAAGGTTGCCACAGACCTTCCGCCGTGATACTACGTGACCCTAGGGGGTCTGGGGAGGAGGAGGAGGAGGAGGAGGAGGAGGAGAGGAGGAGAAGGAGGGAGGGAGGAGAGGATGAGGACAAGGACATGAGTGATAAGGTAGGTTGCGGCTACGGGGAGAAGGAGTTGTAAAGGGGGATATTAGGCTGATGATAAGGGTCGCTAGGATGAGTAGTAGGATGAATGAGTGAGAGGGATGTGAGTATGAGGATAAATTGGATATTGATGGTATGAGTGGTAGGTGAGGAGGTGAGTGAGGAAAAAGGGGATGGAGGATGAGTGAATAGGGATGAGGAGGAAGGTATGAGTATTAGGGGATGAGGAATGATTATTAGGAGTAAGGATGAGATTGAGGAGGAGGATGAGTATTAGTGAGATGAGGAGGACGATTATGTGTTAGGAGTATGGAGGAGGTATGAATTATAGAAGGACGTATGTATTAGGAATTAGGAGGAGAAGGAGGAGGAGGAGAGGGCCTGGTCACGGTGGCCACGACCCGCTCGAAGTACCCCGCGTGCGTCAGGGTGAAGGTCTCGTTCGGGCCCAGAATGCCGTCGCGCCGCGCGGCGCGGAGCCGCGCCTACCGTGCAGGCCCCGCTAGTGAGCGGGTGCGGTCGGAGGGTCGCGCCGCATCGCCGATGCATCGGCCATGCGTCGCCGATGCATCGCCGATGCGGCGCGAGCCTCGGACCCCAGCTGATCGGACCCCACTTGAGCGACGAAAAGAGCGGGCCTTACGCGAGATGAGCGCGGTGGCTTACGCGGGCCGCCAGCGCGTGCCAGCGCGGCACGCTACACCGGAAACGAGCGCGCTGACGCGCGACCTCACGCGGGCAGCTTACGCTCCAATGTCGGCAGAGTCGAATAGAAGAAGAAAGAACGACATAAACATAAAACGTTTGGCGTTCCGCGCAAATTTCTTGGATCTGCGCTGAACCCCCTCTCTGGCGCGCGGAGCCTGCCAGGGCGGCGCCGGAGGCGCCGCCGGGGAGGCCCAGCGCGGATCCAAGAAATTTGCGCGGAGCGCCAGAAAAGTTTATGCACGTAGCGTTTCCTCTTCATTGATCGAACCCGTTCGCCTGCGTCCCTCCCCAGCTTGTCTGCACTGGGTCCCTCTCCTCCTCCTCCTCCTCCCCCCTCCTCCTCCTCCTCCTCCTCCTCTCCTCCCCTCCTCCTCCTCATCCTCCTCCTCCTCCTCCTCCTCCTCCTCCTCCTCCTCCCTCCCCCTCCTCCTCCTCCTGCTCCTCGCCGTCGTCCTCGTCCTCCTCGTGGCCGCCGTCGTCGTCGCTTGCCTGCGCCGCTCCCCCATCGGAGGCCCGGCGCCTGGGCGGGGCCGTGGTAGCCGCCCTGGGGCGAGAGCCAGAAGCCCAGCTCGGAGCCGTGGCGCTCGGCCGCGCGCCGCAGGGCGCCCGGGCCAGAGAAGTTCGCGTTGAAGCCCCAGAGCGGGCCGTCCTCCCCGGCGGCAACCATACCGTCGTGGTCGTCGTCGTCGTCGTCGTCGTCGTCGTCGTCGTCGTCGTCGTCGTCGTCGTGGCCTCATCGGCGTCGTCGTGGCGTCATCGGCGTCGTCGTGGCGTCGTCATCGTCGTGGCGTCGTCGTCGTCGTCGTCGACAACAGCGTCGTCGTCGTCAGCGTTGTCTTTCGTCGTGGTCGTCGTCGTCATCGCCGTCGTCAAAATCGTCATCATCGTCCTCGTCGACGCGCGTCGTCGTGATCAGCGTGGTCGTCATCATCGTAGTCGTCGTCGCCGTCATCGTCGTCGACGTCCACGTCGTCGTCGACGTCGTCATAGTCGTCGTCGTTGTAGTGGTCAGCGTCGTCGCAGTCAGCGTCGTCGCTCTCGTCGCCGTCGGCAGCGTCGTCGTCATCGTCGCCGTGGTCGGCGTCGTCGTGGTCAGCGTCGTCGCAGTCAGTGTCGTCGCTCTCGTCGTCGTCGACATCGTCGACATCGTCGTCGCCATCGGCGTCGTCGTCGTGGTCGTGGTCGTGGTCGTCGTCGTCGACAGCGTCATCATTGACGTCATCGTCGTCGTCATCGTGGCTGTCGTGGTTAGCGTTGTCCTGGTCAGCGCCGTCGTCGTCATCGTCGTCGTCGCCGTCGTCGTCGTCGTCGTTCGCCATCGATCTTCATTGTCGTCCTCGTCGACAGCGTCGTCGTGGTCAGAGTGGTCGTCGTCGTCGTCATCGCCGTCGTGGGCAGCGTCGTCGTGGTCAACGTCGTCGTTGTCGGCACCGACGCCATGGTCGGCGTCGTCGTCGCCGTCGTGAACATCGTCATCGTCGTCTTCGTGTAATCATCGTCGTCGTCGTCAGCGTCGTCGTGGTCAGCGTCGTCGTCGTCACCGTCGTCGTGGTCGTCCTCGCCTTCAAGCCTCGCCGACGGCATCGTCGTTGTCGTTGTCGTGGTCGTGATCGGTGTTGTCGTCGTCGTCGCTGCCGTCGTCGTCATCGTCGTCGTCGTGGTCGCTGTCGTCGTCGTCGTGGTCGTCGTCGTCGTCGTGATCGTCGTCGTCGTGGTCGTCGTCGTCGTCGTGATTGTCGTCGCCGTCGCCGTCGTCGTCGTCATCGTCGTCGTCGCCGCCGTCGTCGTCGTCGTCACCGCTGCCGCCGCTGCCGCCGCCGCCAAAGGCCGCCAAGAGGCTGCCAAGAGGCCGCCGAGAGGCCGCCGAGAGGCCGCCGGGAGGAAGCGAGGAGCGCCGCAGGTCACGAGCGGCGAACAGATCCGCATTCGCGCCCTCGCTCGGAGGTTGCTACATGTGCCCCAGGCCCAAGGTGCCCCCAGCTTTCGGCTCCATTTTGGAGCCCCTGGGCCCCCTGGGCCTACTGAGGGGCGCTCTGGAGGCTGTGGAGATCTCCTCGGAAATCCTGGGGGCACCTTGGGCCCAGAGCACTTCTAGCAACACCCGACTCACGGTCTGGACTCTGGGGTGCAATATCCCGCGGATGCGCGGTCGCACGGAGAAGCGTTCCGGGCGGGGCAGCCGCAACAGAAACGCTCTGTGTAGACGCGGGGACGCGGCCCCGGGGCCGGGCCCGCGTGGCCGCGGCTACGGATATGTGTGTTTCGCCCACCCACAACGTCCGGGTCGTCCCAGCCGTCGTCGAAGAGGTAGGCGTCGACCCTAGAGCCGCGGCTGGCGAGAGCCTCGCCCACGGCCGCGATCGCGTCCAGCGCCTCTCGGTACCCAGACCCCCTCCGGTCGTGAAACAACTACGACGGGAGGTGATTTGATGGTCAGGTTTCGGACGCTGGGGGCCCTCGCCGGGCCCTGGGACCGTCGAAAACACCTCGAAATGAAGACCTGGTCCCCTGGGGAAAGGGTCGAGACCTCTGGGGCCCCCCCCCCCAAAAAAAACGAGGCATCGGAGGTCTGGACGTGAAGCAAGCGGGCTCTGGAGGCAACGGGTCCAAGACCCCAAGGCCTCAAGCCCAGGACCACCTCGTCGTCCCGAGGCGCTCCCGGACAGTCCCTGGCGGGCCCCCGCCCCGCACAGAGCAAGAGCGGCGAAAAAACTCAGGGCCCGTTTTCCTCAGGACCCCTTCCCAGATTTCCGATTCACCTTACTGTACTCTGCGCGCGGCACTGCCCATGTCTGAGCTCGCGCACGGCACGACTGCACTACCCAGGGCAAGGATCTACGCTCCGGCTCACTGGGCCCATCACGCCGCTCGTCCGTGTGCCAGCACATGTACACGTCGTTCATTTCTAACCGCACTCATTTCTAATTGTGGTCGTTTCTGATTGTTCCTGGCCCCCTAGTGGCCAGGAAGAGGCCCAGGATAAAACAATTAGAGATGAAAGGATCTTGGCCCCCCAAAAAGCAAATAACTCTCGAAGAATTAGACGCGAACCATGTGTAACACGTCAACGGGGCTCGAATTTTGAGCAGGGACCGACCGTCCTGGCATTGCTACAGTCAATATCACGACATGTTCTTAGACTCCAAAAATGTTCTAAGAACAATTACGCTACCGAGGAACCCCACATACTGATATATAATCTTATGCGTTTGCTTGTCATTATCATGTGGGCGCCTTGCTGGGCACGGTCATGGGGGGGGCTGGTGCTTCCGCGCGTCATTATCATCTATGCGCAATCCTGCGTTCCCCTATCCTGCTGGGCGCGCTGGGCCTTCCACGTCACGCAGAGAGTCGGTGCCATGATGATCAGCAGCAGCTCGGAAGGTCCAACGCCAGAGGGCGACGTCGCTGACCTCCCCGTATAACTTGGCGCTAGCTACGCCGAGCACGTCAGGCTGCAATGCGAACAGACGAAGAGTGGGAATATCCATTATGTAGGGCGCATCGTTGGTAGAGTATCTGAAAAGCGCCTTCCACAAGTCGGCATCGCGGCCCCTTTTCGACGGTCGGTACTCTGGATCGGCAGATCGTTCGTCAGTGAATGCTGCGTACCAGTTGCCCGCCTTCGAATCCGCTTTCGTCAACAGGTTCTCGAGCTGAACTGAGTCTCGCAGGCTTTGCGACCAAGGTACATCTGCCCAACGGCGGTCCGTCTGAGCCGGCTCAGGGGACAGCTGAATGCGAGGGGTGCCAGTGGAACGAACCGAGGTAGCAAGCAGAACTGCTGGGGACCGCTGAGGGGTGGAGGCCTGCACGGGCGTGGACTTCGCTGGCGTGGCCTGGGCGGGCGTGGCCGTGCCCCTGTTGCCGGCATCGCCGACTCGCCGAACTTTCGCCAACGGCGAGCCATTGCCATCCTCCGCCCCCCCAGGCTGAACAGCTGGGAACCCGCCGGACGAAGGGTTCAGCAGGTACCGCATCAAGCACTGCCTCCTGCCATCGTCGTTGCCTCCTTTCCTCAGCTCGTTGTACCTGATGAGAAGAGTATGAGGCCACCAGTTGGCGAGTTGTCGATGATAAGCATTAAATGCGTTTCGAACCAGAAGATATCCTTGCGCATCCTTGTAGCCGCGCAAGCCTGCCAGATTGACCTCAAGGCCCATCCCACTCATTGCCTCCTTCAGCGCCAAACAAGGTGGTGGCAGGGCGGCGATGGCAATTTTCGGAGGCATGAGTGCCGCACACCGCAAGGGATCGCTTGCTGCTTTAAGATACGGAAGCAGGGCGCGTCTGAGTGGAAAACTATGCGCGCTGAGCCGGCTTGAGCCAATGTGTTACATATCAGGATGCTCGAGGGTCAAAGACATGTGTCCCATATGTCGATCTGTGGAGCTCCCCACCCCATGCGTCGCCCTCTGGCGTCGAGAAACTATTACGCCTGACGCGCCCTGGAAGCCTGAAAGAGAGAGCGCCCCCAACTCCTGCTACACCCCTGCGAGCGTATCACGGATAGAGGCCGCACTGAGGGACCACCCTCTGCGCACCCCCATGCGATGTCGAGAATGTGCCGCGCCTGCCACGCCCTGCGAGCGTGTCACTGATAGAGGCCCCGCTGAGGGACCACCCTCTGCGCACCCCCAGCGGCGTCGAGAAAGTGCCGCGCCTGCCACGCTCTGCGAGCGTGTCACGGATAGAGGCCGCACTGAGGGACCACCCTCTGCGCACCCCCATGTGATGTCGAGAATGTGCCGCGCCTGCCACGCCCTGCGAGCGTGTCACGGATAGAGGCCCCGCTGAGGGACCACCCTCTGCGCACCCCTTATGGTGTCGAGAAAATGCCGCGCCTGCCACGCCCTGCGAGCGTGTCACGGATAGCGGCCGCGCTCAGGGGCCACCCCTTGCGCACCCCTTGTGGTGTCGAGAAAGTGCCACGCTTGCTGTGCCTGGACGACTGTCGTGCATAGCGGCCGCGGTGAGAGACCACCCTCTGCGCACCCCCTATGGTGTCGAGGAAGTGCCACGCCTGCCACGCCCTGCGAGCGTGTCACGGATAGAGGCCCCGCTGAGGGACCACCCTTTGCGCCCCCCCAGTGGTGTCGAGAAAGTGCCGCGCCTGCCACGCCCTGCGAGCGTGTCACGGATAGAGGCCCCGCTGAGGGACCACCCTCTGCGCACCCCCTTTGGTGTCGAGAAAGTGCCGCTCCTACCACGATCTGCGAGCGCGTCACGGATAGAGGCTGCGCTGAGGGACCACCCTCTGCGCACTCTCTGTGGTGTGATGGTGTGTGGTGTGGCGTGGTGTGGTGTGGTGCGATGTGGCGTGGTGTGGTGTGGTGTGTGTACGAGCGAGAAGGAGGAGGTGAGGTGGGAACGCAGGTGTGACGCGGGTGTAGAGAAGGGGAGGTGAGTGAACGCGGGTGCGACGCGGGTGTAGAGAAAATCAGAACCCCACTTATAATGTGGGGAAAAACAATGTTCTTAGAGCATCAACCCGATGTGATAAAACAAGACAGTCTCCGCCAGAAATGTTCGAAGAACCTTTCGTGGGAGTAATAAGGTTCTTAGAACATTGTTTGGCCAAGAGGGGGGTGTCCAAGAGGGGGGTGTCCAAGAAGGGGCCAAGAGGGGGGTGTCCAAGAGGGGAGGTGCAAATCATGACCGGTGGCACGTGCGCGGCCCAGCGGGGGGACCAGGGACGTAATGAACTAAGAAGGGGCGCCATAAAATCTGAGGAAATATCGTGGCCCCCGCCATGATATCCACCCCCCCCTAGTCATCACACCCCTCTCTGCCGCCCCCGATAGACGTGAACCATGTGTAGCACGTCCACGGGGCTCGAGCTCCAGCCCTGCCCGTGCGGGGGGCCCCCTGGAGGGTCCGGCCCCTGCCCCCGGAAGGCCCGCCGCTCCCGCCGCACGGCTCTGCGACGGCCCCGCGAGGGGCCCCGCGTGGCCGAGAGGGAGCCCATGGAGCCTACGGCTATGTTGTTCCTATCCTTCTTTCTGGGGGGCCCTGGGAGCACCCCAGGGAGGCCCGAATCGCCAGGAAACGCGTTTTGGCCCCTAGGGCGCTCCAAGGCGCTCCCAAGCGATCCTGGGGGGCTCCTGGAGGGCTCCTGGGGAGCTCCTGGGGGGCTCCTGGGGGGCTCCTGGGGGCTCCAGGCCGCATCCCAGAAATAATTTCGAGCACCTGGAAAAGTGTCAGAAGAGTGTCGAAGCAGCGTCGAAACAGCGTCGGGCGAGCGTCTCCCAGGGCCCGACACGTGAAAACCCTTGAGTTTCGGTACTTTTTTTTCTGGCGCTCGACATTCTTTCTGGTGACCAAGGCGAAAGTAGGTTGGAGCATCAGAAGCCCAAGGCCGCGACCTGGCTCACGCCGCGAGCAGGCCCCCGGGCGTGCCTCCGCGGCGGCGCCTCCCTCGCGCTGCAGAGCTCCCCGGCTTCCGGGCCACAGCTCGGCTCTCTCTCTCTCTCTCTCTCTCTCTCTTTCGCGGCCGTGGGCGACGCTGCGGCCCCCCCCCCCCCAGCGCGCCGTCGACGAGGCGCAGCCGATGGAAGCAGAGCTGGGCCTCGAAGGCACCCGAACGCCCTCGCAGACCTCCGAAGACTCTCGAAAGCGTCCCCGAGATCTGACGCTGCGGAGAAGAATGCAAGGACGCAGGAAATCATGACCCTAGCCCTAAGCCCCATCTTCCTGCGTCCCTATTCGAGCCTGATCGATCTGTAAGGGTCCCAGGGCCCGAAGACGCACGAAAACGCCCGTTGCGAAAAAATCGCTACGCCCAGATCTGAGGGCTAACGCTGCCCCCGCGCGTCCCTCTCGCTGAAGGGCTCCCCAGTGCATGCCCCTGGCGTGCCGGCCCGCGCTGCTTCTTGGATTTCCTTCGGCGGCCTTTAGGGGGGCCCTCCGCGGTTGTCGTGCCAACGCGTCCTGCTGGATGTACGGCTCGCCTTCCTTGCCTGCTGCTTGTTGGCGGTTCCGGGCCCCGGCGTGGGCACTGGAGAGGGCAAAAACCTGGGGCTCCAGAGCGGACAGAAAAGTCGCGGACGTCTTCCGGAAACTCGCCATACAGCCCTGCTAAGAGCTAAGCAAAGTCTACCACCAGAAACATGGACATCACTCAAGGCGTTTTCTCAAACAGTAGTACAGGTCCAGATAAACCGAACTGTTCTTTTTAGAAAAGAGAGCTCCGAGGGAACGCCCAGGGTCTCTTCCAGATGCCTCACCTCCTGCACGACACCCGGTGTCCATGAAAGTTGCTGCTTGTTCTTCAGATATTAAATATGCATTCCCACCATCCCAGCCGAGCCAATATCGATTTGCGCCGTCGTCCCTGTCAGATTCGCCGGCCCAAAGGGCCAGAGGCGAGCTAAGATCTCCGGCAACAGATGAACAGTACAGTCGGGGCGTTGACCTGAGGAACCCTAGATAAGGAACGAGGCCCCTTCTTCCCCTAAGTTACACTTCGATGTCCCATCGGAAACCTCAGGATAACCTAAGACCCAGACCTCCCGACGGCACGACTTTTTTCACGGCGTCGATCTCAGGAGGTCTCGGCCCCTTCCCCGCCCCGAGTCGCTCCCTGACGGCCCCGAGGCCCGGCAGGGGCCCCCCGAGGCCGAAGAGGGCGCGAGGGGGCCTGGAAACGCTGCCCCGAGCGGGCCCTGGGCCCCCAGGGCCTCCCGCCGGGACCACCTGTTCGGGGACGGGGAAGGAGGAGGGCAGAAGGAGAAGAAGGAGGAGGGGGACGGGGAAAGGACGAAGCGAAGCGAAGGAGGAGGAGGAGGGGAGGGCGAAGCGAAGGAGGAGGAGGAGGAGGAGGAGGAGGAGGAGGAGGGCGAAGCGAAGGAGGAGGACGGCGACGACGAGGTGGAGGAGGAGGAGGAGGAGGAGGAGGAGGAGGAGGAGGAGGAGGAGGAGGAGGAGGAGGCGGGAGGAGAGAGTACGCTACGCACGTAAAGGACTAACACATGCACGAGGTCCGAGAGCCCGAAAAAAGCGACAGACCTCACGGCCCGTCCCTCGAGACCCGCTTCCCCCTTTGGCGACCCTGAGCCCCCCTCTCGCTGGAGGGCTCCCTCTGGTGCCCGTGCCGTACCGGCCTGTCCTCCCGCGCTCAAGAAAGGGCAAAAGCCGGGGGCCCCCGAGCGGGCAGAAATAGTCGCAGAGCTCTGGAAGCTCCCCTGACGCTTACTCCCGATTTCGTAATAAAGGGAGGGGGGTCTCATTTCGGGGGGGGTCTCTTCCAGGCTATCTTGGAGGGCCTGGGGGGGTCTGGGGACGATGTTTTGGAGGGTTCTCCCACGGGGGAGGTCTGAAATGGCTTGTCTTGGAGGGTCCAGCCCCCCTTTCTTTTATTACGAAATCTGGAGTACCCTGGAGCCTCCCTCTCGCTGAAGGGCTGCCCCGGGGCGGCCCCCCAGCTTTCGAGCCACCACTCGGCCCCTTGGCGGCCGTTGGCGACGCTC